TGCTCATCTGGTTGATTTCCTATAATGAGGTGCCTTTTTCATAATATGGAAACAGTCTAAAAGCACAGAAAATGATGACGTATCGAATTCAAGCTTTAAAAACGTTGTCCATGTATTTAAAAGGGTACTGTTTTGCATTGAACAAAACTGTATCAGCATATATGGTTAAAGTATATTCCAGATCGTTGTATTTTCACTGGCTTTACTTATTTTTTCTCTCGCTTTAAGCTGCACAGATGTATTTTCGATTTTTTTTAAAAAGATACACAGCGAATAAATAAATAGAACGACGAAACCACAGCGCTGAATACGAGTCAGTGCGACGTTACTGAATTTAATTATGTGTGAGAACGCTTCCCCTTTAACACTATTCTAAGACAATCACCACTGCTGACTTTAGACAAGCGACTATACTTTTCTTAACACGCACTGTTTTTAGAAATTTTATTATATACAATTGTAAGAGGAAAACAAGTTGAAAATCGAATTTAGTGTTTAAAGGAAAGGGACAACTAAACACAGTGCTTATGGCATATGTAAAAGTGAAGAGATACCCAATGTAACTTTTTTTCTATACGATTTCCGCAAAATAAAATGACGCCGAAGAAATGCATTAATCAATTAATTTAAGAAAATTAATAGTTATTAAAGAAATAACTACACCGATGAATTTAGGGGTCTAATATATTTATGGTAATTTAGTATTTGAATGGAAGTCAAAATACTACTATCACATTTGGCTACTTTTATGACAAATCATTTCACAAACATAACAACTTTCTTCAGGTAACTTTTGACTTATTCCTTTCCATTTAACTAATTCCTCCGCAGCCATTATACGCTTGCGTAAAATCTCATTTGTTTATTAATTATACATCACCAAGTGTCTAAGATACAAATTCAATGTATGCATATTGTATTGCGGTAACTGACCTTGAAAATTACCGAAAAATCCTTGAAACTGCATATTATAAAATCAATGTGACCCTGTAAAAGTTCGTTTATCTATTAATTTTCTTAACGAGGAAAAATATGCATTAGAAATTGCCTTAATTCATAATATGAAACTGATTAGTTTCTATTGTCAAATGGCATGCAGTAGTGTTGCGTCTTTTTTTAGTACAAAGAAAATAAGACGAAACATAGAGTATTGTTAATTAAAGTACTAATTAAGATTATTTATTGATAACATGAATTTAGATACAAAGGAATTTTTGTCTAAACGCTTGTATCGACTTATTGTAACAACAATCTTCAGCCAAAAAAGGCTGGCATGACATGTTGCAAATTTACATAAGTGAATATTAGGACCTCTACACGAGTCACCAGTATAAAAACTGAGAGACATTTACCTCTATTTAATGTTCACCATTTTGCTGTAAGGCAAAAGGAGGTAAAATGGGCGTGGCCATTTATCTCAAATACAAGAGAAGGCTATGAAGACTAGACAGATGCCAACAAACAGTTGGAGAGTGTTTAAGTTAATCAAGATTAAATGTAAATCTGGTATGTATAACACTTTTTTCTAATTATTAGTAAAAATGGAGAGATGAAGTCAGAAAATTAGACAATACACTATGTAACGTCACATTAACCTTTTTTCTCTTTCCAAATTATACCAGACAAAGTTAAAAGTAGATTACAAATTGAATTAAGCATTGGATTGTCAAATGCCCCAAAAATAAATTTTGCATAGCTCACCTTTGCAACAAAGTATATATGGGACCTCATAAACAGTTTTGCCAAAATTAGAAATATTTATAAGCTATTTTTCAGACGACCGTCAAGTATGTGAAGACTATGAGTACACAACCACATTAGAAAGTTCAGGTGATGAAGAAGAGGCTGAGATAGCTAAAAGAAAACAAAAAAAGAGAAATATACCGACTTTGTGACAGGTAATTAAACTTAAAAGTAATAGTGTTTAGTTCAGTTCTGATATTAAATCATATATTTTCAGTTCGTCATGTCATATATTTTGCAATCAATCACAGGGATGTTATAAAGCCATTTAATAAAACTGATAATACACTAGTATGTGCAATAAGAATCTCATGTTGCATCATTATTACGTCAGGTTAGAGATTTAGTGAAACTTGTGTGAAATAGTAACATAGTTTTTTTAATTGCTAATCCTAGCCATTTTTATTGTGTTTTTCATACTGCTTTTTTTATTTTTATAAAATTATTTTCAATGTGTTATTTTAGCGGAAGCTAATGAGTCGACCACGAATTCACAAGAAACTTTTTTATCTGGTAAGTATTCTGTTTCATTCACTTGAATTTATTTGTAAATATGTATAATTTACTTTAAATATGTAAGGTGCTTTAGCCAGGTAGCAATATTAAGATTTTTAGAAATGTAATAATAAGCAGGAAAATTCCTGAATGGTTATTTCTTATTTCTTTCTCATTCTCTAAATTATATACTGCAGAATTTTAATAAGATGGTATTGTTGGTGATAAAAATCAACTAATATTTACTTTAATAAAATTATCTTCACATCTAGTATAAGAATTGATGCTGAATATTTTGTACCTGTAGATATAGGAGTACCTGTACTACCAGTGCCACCTAAAAAATTACCATCAAAGGATTTGGGTGAGAAGAGAATGGCAGAATGTCCTAGGTCACAACCTTATATGACTGTCAACAATGATAATATATCTCAATTAAAAGATGGAAGCAGTTTATCATCAAGGGACAGGTCAAGATCTCCATTATCAGAGGTAGCCTCTTCACAGAGGATTTCCGACAGTCATTTAAAAAGTAAGCCTAAAGATTCTAGGGAAAGTCATAGGCAATTCAAAACAAAATCCCATGATAGACCTGCTTCCTATACCTCTAGCCAAATTTCAGTTACTGAAATAGTCCAGGCTAGTGAAAGGTCAGCAATAAGGACAAAGGACAGTTACTATAATGATAGACCTTTATCAAGGTCTGAGTGGGATTACTCATCCTCTCAATGGCCTCAGTCCTCATCATTAAGTAGGTCAAGGTCAAAATATCCTTATGACAGGCATTTAAATAAGTCTTCATTACAGCATAATGAAACCCGCCGGAGGGATAGAAGTAGGTCGAAATCACAAGTGAGACACTCTGATAGGTCTTTGTCAAGGGAAAGTCGAAGGTCATGGTCTTTTTCATCACAAAATAGCATGTCACAAAGGTCTATATCTCGGCATTCAAGAGATAGTCGTAGGTCAATGTCACATAGGTCATCTGACAGTGAACATAGAGGGTCAGGGTCACATAGAAACATTAATAGGATAAGGTCACATTCTTCAAGGTACAGAAGCCCCGAAAGGTCATCGGAAAGAAGACGAAGGTCACCCTATAGCCCTATCATTAGCACTCCAAGGTCATACGAAACATTTAGTTCAGAAATTATGGCCCGTGATAGTCATAGGGATGTGCCTAGGACAAGTAGCCAGGGACAAAGTCCAGACATGGGTCGACTAGAGATGGACAGACAAGAGCTAGACATTCAACTGAAAGACATGATGGAGATACATGTTAAAGAGAGGTGTTCCCAATAACAGAAGCTAGTAAGTGGAATTTTAATATTTTAGAATAGTCAGTTATTGTGGTGTTGTTTTTACAAACTTTTTGATCATCATTTTCATTTTTAATGAATAATTTTAATATTTTTTTATGGATATGTCTCTTTATCTTCAAAATAATCTTAATTTTGTTTAAAAAATACGAGTGCTTAAGGGGCAGGCTTTAAGTAGTAAAATAATTTACTTTGTTTTATCTTATTTTCGCTTTAACTTTTCAGAATTTCAAAAGAAAGTCCTTCATTTACTAGTCGAAATAAGAAATAGCCTGAAGGACATCAAAGGCAGTGGCCATGAACAGAATGAATGTGGTGATTTTAATGTTAAAAAATGTGACGATTTGGATGACTTCAAACAACTTGAAGAGCGAATAAAAAGTCCAGAGGAAAGAAGGCGCTTGGTAAGAGTTTTGATGAATAGAAAAAAACCATTTTGTTTTGCATCATGAACATGTGTAGGCATTTTCTGCCTTTGCTATTTGCTAATTAAGATTCTTATGTTTACGTAAATATGGATTATCAGAAAACTTCATACTCCGTAAATGAAACTTTTTGTCCTGGATATACAATTATGTATGATATTCATTATGTATATTAGCTAGATATACTAAAACATTTAAGATATATTTTCTAGTAAGGATATATTGATCAATTTTTTTTAATTACTTATATCGTAGTCATTTTTGATTCACAGATTCAGAAACTGTCAATGGTTGGTGGTGTCAGTGTTAAAGACACTGTTAAAAGGATACTGGAAAAGTAAGATTACATTATTGATGATTATTTTATGAAAAGATGTTGCTAAAACTTATAATAATAATTCAACATTGAACTGTACACTTTGGGAATATATTAGGACAAGTACACAGCTGGTGAAACAATATTAGATGAGTCTCCAGGTGAGTCTAATATGATTTAGCTATGTTCCAGTCCGAATATATTCCCATATTGTATCTGTTCAAAATCTAAAAGTGTGTTTATTCTATATGTCGAATTATGCTCAGGAAACACAAAATATCACCTTAATAATATATACTGAACTGCCAGTAAAGGATAATCAATTGGACACCACAACGTCCAAAAAGATTATATATTGGACGATCACGTGGTATAATTTAAAAGCAGTGGTTGGCTGATAAATTAATCAATATAGAATCGCAACTTTTAATTAAATGCCCTATATTGAATGTTTTTATTAATGATCATTGATATGTTTACCAATGGTGATGTGTAGAAAGAGTTGAGTGTTGCCTCCGCCCGGCAATGGCTCTTGTTCATCACCAAGAACTGTGTATTTCGCATATGCTACTTTTTGGTATAGCATACAAAGACTATTAATTGATTTAATTTTTAATAGAATAAAGTAGTTTGATTATTTGATATGGACAAAAATAAGATGTTGTGGGTTTTGAGCTCACCGGTCACAAAGTGACATGGTGAGCTTTTGTGATCGCTTTTTGTCAATCGTCCATCGTAAACTTTTTCTTTAAACAACATCTCCTCATTAACCGCTAAGCCAATTTTATCCAAACTTCACAGGAATGTTCCTTTGGTATTGTACTTTAAAACTTGTTCAAAAATTTTTATTCCAAGCAGAACTCTAGTTGCCATGGCAAACTTAAAATATCTTCTTCTAGAAAACCAAAAGAGCTAGAGCTTAATTATTTGACATGAAACATCTAGTCAGTGTCTACCAAGTTTGTTCAAGTAAATGTCCTGGGGTCAAAATTTGCCCCGCCCCAGGGGGTCATTGATTTTCCTTCTTTGTATATAGTAAAACTTAAAAAATCTTCTTAAAAAAACCCAATAGCTAGAGCTTAGATATAAAGCGTGAAGCACCTTAATGGTTGTCTACCAAGTTTGTTCAAATAAAAGCCCCGGGGTAAAAATTGGCCCCGCCCCAGGGAGGTCATTGTTTTTCCTTTAATGTATATAGTAAAAATTAAAATCTTTTAAAAACCCCAAAGAGCTAGAGCTAAGATATTTAGCATGAACCATCTTCTAATGGGTGTCGACCAAGTATGTTAAAAAAAAAACTCTGGTTTAAATTTGGCCTTGGCCAAGGAACCTATATACAGGTGAGCAATTTCAGGGCCATCATGGCCCTCTTGTTTTTAATTATTTTATATGTCAGTTGTTTTTGATGGATAAAGCATCATCTTTTACATTTGTTATATTGCTAAATTGTTATTATTATATTTTAATAAAGACTTAAAACATTTTTGAATATGAAAAATCTTTGTTGTCTTTTTATTGTGAATTGTTTGCACAAATGTTAGTCAGTGTTTGACTGAAAACTATGGATTTATGTTAGTAACTGGTTGTAATTGACAGTTACTGTTTGGAATAACTTTGGAAACTGGTTGGAATTACGTAAGTTACTGGTTAGAACAGCATAATGAAAACTGGTTGGAATTACGTTGGAAACTGGTTGGAATCACGTTGGAAACTGGTTGGAATTACGTTGAAAACTGGTTGGAATCACGTTGGAAACTGGTTGGAATTACGTTGAAAACTGGTTGGAATCACGTTGGAAATTGGTTGGAATCACGTTGAAAAATTGTTGGATTTATGTCATTTTTGACGTTGGATTGACGTCGGGTTCTGACGTCTAAAAACTTTCATATACAACCAAAATCTAACGTCTATCCAACGTTGGAGTCCAACGTCTATCGAACGTTGATCCAACGTCATGTGTTTGCTGGGTATGTATCTTAATAAAATAGGAGATTATAGACACGGAGCCAAAGATTGGCCGTCCTTTGCTTTTCGGACGAAGTCAGTCTGAGAACGGTTTGACTTCCTGTAACGTTTACAGGGAAGAACTGAATATACGTAAAATTTTCATTGGTCAGTTTATAATTTTAAACTGAAATCAGGGAATCTCATTTGCCATTAAAAATTTAGTACATATATGATGACAAATCTATTAAAGATATAAGCGGGATAAGGGTAATTGCAAATCCTGGTGCACTGTCAATTGTTCTGAAATCTTTCACTGCCCAATATGCTAAAATTATTTCAGAATTTCATATCCCCCGTCCCAGGATCTATAGATCGGGAGGGCATAATGTTTTGGTCTGTTTGTAACAGATCTTTAGTCGGTCTCCAAACTTCACGGGTGTTTTTTTATCATGCTGATGGTACTGCAAAATTACTTAGGTGAGTATAGTACATTATCAGGAATGAAAATAATTGTGTAAGGTTTTGTCGAAATATATAATAAACAAACAAGCCACACAAACACGAATATTCAGTAGTTATTTATTGCAGACGTTTCGGCTATGCATAACCATTTTTCAATTTTGAGATGCTGCATGTGATCTTTTCTTTGTGAATATTGGACATATGGGTGTATCTGCAGATAATTATCTTTCAAAACGTAAGACTTGAACTAAAATTTGTTTCACGTTGCAAACTTCTTGTGTCTGACATCAAAAACCACCGTGTTTTATTCGCTTTCAACACCCAGATGAACTTTGTAAATATTGGTGTAGGAAAAACTAATAACAATGAGAAAACACATGCAAGCTTATGTTCATTTGATCTATATTGAAGTGATATATTTACTGATAATGGCTGATTATTATTAGAGGGACTCCACAAAAGAGTATTCGAAATTTCAAAACAATGATGCATTGGTTCTGTTCAGCCAATATTGACACTATATACAGAGAAATATGTATCAAGCTCTCTTGCACCTGCTTTTTCAAAAGCAGCATATATCAATGGAAATAATAGAATGAATCGTCCCGTCTCACAAACAACTGTCCCAACGGCACTGCACTAGTTGTGGATTTCATGTCTTGTCCGTTGAATGCAAGTCTTTATATTTTGTTTATACGCTGTAATGAAGGGTAATATTTGGGGAGACATTGCGTTCATTACTTCAGCAAACGTATGAAGGTGAAAGGTAAAAGAACCGGCGTTCCGTGCGTTAAGTACGCGCAATACAGGTTCTTTAGTGTTTATAAGAAACCATTTCCAAAATTCAATTGATCAAGAAAGGCACAGCGTTCGGTCAATTTAATTTGATAAATTTTTTCTAATAAACATAAACCAATTTAGTGTTTGAAATTATTTTTATTAAACTGTCGATTTACCAGACTGATTAAATTAAGTCGATTTACCAAATTAAAATTTGATATACTTCATTCTATTTGGGAACATATAATTTCAAACACAAATATCAGTTAAAGCCTGGTCGATACTAAATAAGTCAAAAGCTATACAAGAATAAGTGCAGCATTATTAGTATTGAGTACAAAGAAATATTTGCATACATCCTAGTAATTGTTGATTGTGCTCTTTTGCAATCTGTAGTAAATGGCGTCTTTAAAAAATATATATATTGCTATTTTACAATCTCTAGTAAACGGGTTCATTTGAGATTATTCTTGTATTCTTTCGCCATTTATATCGATCATTTCAAAATTATACTATACATGTATGTGAAAAAGAACTTAATTGCAGTAGTAACACGCAAAACTATTTTCTACGTAAAATGCTTTGAACGGAGTATTTTGTTTGTAATATTTGATAAGCATAATATACTTATGTTTGCTAGATGTACATTGTTTAGAGAAGAGGACATAATGTATTACTTATTATTTCGATTTTTACAATATTCCCCAGTTTGTCCCGCCTTAATTGTCGTCCATTGACCATCTCAGGACTGTGTTTGTGTACGGGAAAGAAAATAAGTAAACTTATTTCATCTGAATGGAAATCAAATTGGGACAAAGCCGTATTTAACGAACTATAATATCCATCCCTATTTTTATGAATAACCATATCCGCCATGATATAAAAGGAAATAAGCTTGTGTCCTAAGATTTAATATGATATGAACTTATAATTTATGCCTGTTCATTATTACTTTCGAGATGGTATAATCGTATGGGTGTGTGTCGTTAGACACAAACAAATCAAGTCTCCGTGTTAATCACGAATGTCGTTTCATTTTTTTTTAGTCATGCGGTGTTAAGAAAGTTGAAAGATGTTATCACGTGTACTGGAATTATTTATTGTTGGACATAAAGTCTGATGGACGTATGAAGGACATTAAATTTATGATGCCTCAGAAACACGTTTTTCTCTCCTTTAGAAAGGGCAAACATGAGTTTTATAATGTTTAAAAAAAGTTTTAGAACAAGTTAGATGCTTATGACCCGAAGAAAGTAGCTGAATGTGAAATTTTCCCTGAGAAATGGCAATTTTTGGGACTGACCAATAGTTAATAATAATATGTAGCTATTATGTATATAATTTAAGTTTTTCATCTCCTTGATAATTTCTTTACAGTGTTACATTCAATTCTTTAATTACCAGTCTATTTGTATTACAAGTATAAAATTGTATTTGAAATTCAAAAAATTTCCAACAGCTTTAATTTGCTTTAACCGGACCGTGACAAACGGCAAATAGTCCCTTCTTTTCGAACTTTGCGGGAAACCAATTCATTGACGAATTCGGGAACCAGCCAATACTATCTTATGTAAACACAAATTTAGTGTGTACATGTATGTAAGTTTTTTTGTATATCAAATAACGCTGCCATCAGCTTCTTGAAGATGCCAGAAGGGCCGGAATTACATATTGCGAGTAGATTTATTAATCACATGTGCAAGGGTCGAGTTTTTGGTAAGGTTCTGAAATCAGAAATCAGCAAAAATCCAAACGTGAATCCCCCAGCAGAAAAATATATAATTTCATCTTCATCTCGCGGGAAAGAAATTAAAATAACCCTGACAGAAACAACAAATGCGGACGGAGACAAAAAATTAAGCAAATCACAGACAAATACTCTAGATATTCTTTTTACTTTTGGTTTGGCTGGAAAGTTTGATTTTCATGAAGCTAACGAGTTACAAAAGCATGCCCATCTCAATTTCTTCACATGTGACTCACAACCAGCCAGTGTGCTCAGTTTTATAGATTACATGAGATTTGGAAAGTGGACTCCGGGTGCAGATTTTTCAGTGAAAGATAGAGGACCATGTGTTCTGTTTGATTACTCAAACTTCAGGTAATACACTGTTTATAATATATATAATATATTTAAGAAATAATATATCCCAAACTGTGATTTTATCGCTCAATAACATCACTGTTTGGAGTTCGGATGCGAGGAATTATATCACGAGGGCGTAGCCT